GGAGACTGCGGAGCCTCGGTTCTCTTTAATTTTAACTCGGAGTCGCATGTGTCCCCCTTTCATGGTTATCAAAGGGCCACGAGTTGTTATCCTGCTCTATAGCCATGCCACGTTCATTTTCTTGTCCATTTCTTTATTTAATAACTGCAATACCATTTGCCTACCAAAAGTTTTCCCTGCTCACTTTTACCCCCATACAAAATTAATTACACAAAGTCAACAGTCTGCCACTTAATATTAAGTTATCCACCATTTCTTTATTTAATAACTGCAATACCATTTGCCTACCAAAAGTTTTCCCTGCTCACTTTTACCCCCATACAAAATTAATTACACAAAGTCAACAGTCTGCCACTTAATATTAAGTTATCCACCATTTCTTTATTTAATAACTGCAATACCATTTGCCTACCAAAAGTTTTCCCTGCTCACTTTTACCCCCATACAAAATTAATTACACAAAGTCAACAGTCTGCCACTTAATATTAAGTTATCCACCATTTCTTTATTTAATAACTGCAATACCATTTGCCTACCAAAAGTTTTCCCTGCTCACTTTTACCCCCATACAAAATTAATTACACAAAGTCAACAGTAGTCTGCCACTTAATATTAAGTTACAGATATATTACACTGTACTTTCACAAGTACTGTGAACAGCTGTTGTTCCCATTAGTAAAGAATAACAAGCTCAATCCGTATGTCTATTCGTAAAGTTGCCTGTTTTCGTAACTTGAAAAATGGCATCAGGTGCATGAAGCTCGGGCTATGACAGCCTGACAGGTTCTACTTCGGACCACTTTGGGTTTATTGTGTTAGAAAATGGGATCTTCTTGCAAATTAACCTGAGACCGAACAAGAAAGAACGGTGAAAACAATTACATAAGATAGCAGTTTTTACGTTGTTCAGCAAGATGTATACATCCATGACCACACTAGGGATTCTTTTTGTTATATACGATGAAGTTACAATCACAAGAGAGATTGTCCTGTAAACAGATAAAGACTAGGGTTACATTCTACCTGTAGCATTACTGATTTATGCTTCTACGTGACAATAAATAGGTGGATCCATTAATCAAGGGATTTGTCTGCTGATTTTATTTTGCATTTCTACGAAGAGGTTGTTTCCAAAAATCGAACTCGTCACCTACAGGTCACACGAACAACTTCTTATTTTGTAAATCAAAAATCAAAGAAATGATGGAAATAATTAATAGATTAGCTATGTTTCACACATGTTGGTCCACATATGTACACACTGTAATGACTCAGGTAAGAGAATATTCAATATTCAAATTGCGACTATTCGTCGCAAGAATCCAATTACACCATGTAAATGCATGCTTTATACCCAAGTAAGCTTACAAATTTGATCATAATCAATTGTTTTTAAATTATCTCGTTTTTGTACGATTTTCCTAATGTTTATACTCCACAACCTCTCGATGTCTTACATGAAATGTATTTTACTTCATCCTTAAATTTCTTATTTCACGCCGATGGTATCATAGGATTCGGATCCTCTCCACCACCATGAAGAAGTGAAGAGATCACTGCAACATTTCAATCCTTAATTTGTTTAGTAAATGACTATGATTTACATTTTGAGTGTAAATTTTGTGCAATTCTTGGATTACCAATTATCTAGTACTGTTCAGATCCCCTGGGGCACATCACATGCAGCTAACTGAGCAGATATCTCTCTGGATCTTCTCTGCTGACGAGAATCATCCTGATTCTGCGATTTGGTGTTGGCCGACGTCCATGAGCTTCAGTAAGCTTTGGAACTGGATATTAATGCGGCGAAATCTTGTTTGGTTGTCTAACTTGGAAGCTCGCGGATATTCAGGCTTTTTTCCCCCTTTCTTTTCCCCCCTTTCCTTTGTTAATTGTTGTTGCAATAGATATCTTATAGTAATATAGAAAATTTGGGCAATTGATGACATAAGAGATAGAATCCTAGAAATCTATTTTGGTTTTCAGATAATTTAGATGTAGGTATAAACATGTGCATTGAATTATGGTTTTAGTAGTCCAATGAAGCATACGATAGAATATTACAACAATAAGGAGACTGAGTGATGAGGACTGGATCGTTTTTAATTAAATAGAGAAGAGACCGGGTTAGTGATTGTCTAATCCAACCGACACAACAACCAACGGTAGGACCTTTAGCATCGACATCAAGTACATTACTCATAGGAGGATCATTTAGAAAGAAAGGTTTGGGAAAATGGACAGATCTAAAATATTTTCACAGAGCAAATCCTAAATACAGTAGTCCAATTTAAGACGTGCAATTCATTCAATTCTGCGTAACTTTGGT